TTACATATGTATATCTTATCAGTTTACTTGATTCTTGAGTTTAAAGTGTCACTTAATGAATTCACTTTAAGTATAGAAACCTTGCCTCTCTTTATATCCCTTTACCCTCTTCTATTTATAATAAGTTTGTCGTAGATATTTCCTCTATGTACACTGGGAACCATATCAAATCATGTCATAATATTTGTTTCAATCATCAAACATAGTCTAGAAAACTCCAGAAAAGTAAAGTCTATTGTATTTATCCATACTTTAACTCCTATTGTATTCTTTTTTTCAAAATATTTATTTATTTATAATGAGAGAGAGAGAGAGAGAGTGCAAGCTGGGGAGGGGCAGGGAGAGAGGGGGAGAGAGAATCCCAAGCAGACTCCACACTGTCAGCATAGAGCCCGACGCAGGGCTTAAACTCATGAACCATGAGCTCATGACCTGAGCTGAAATCAAGAGTTGGACGCTCAACTGACTGTGAGCTACGCAGGCACCTCTCTTCCTTCTTTCCTGAAGTTCCAAGAATCCTTCTTTTACCATTTTCTTTCTATTTAAAGAACTTCATTTAGCCATTCTTTTAGGGCATGTCTATTGGCTACAAATTCTCTTAGTTTTCTTTGAGAATTTCATAACTTCCCCTTCATTCATATGACATTTTTGAATGTGCTTCTAGTATATTTTAGCTGGAATTGGGGTTGACAGTTCTTGTCTTTCAGCAGTTGAAAAATATTGTGTCATTTCTTCTGGCTTCCTTTGTTTCTGATAACTGTCATTCAAATCATTTCTACCACCTTATTCCCCCAAAAGTAAAATATATGTCTTGGAGGTTTACACATTTTTTTCTTTGTCTTTAGTTTTTAGAGGCTTGACTATATGTGTTTGTGTGGGTTTCTTTCTTTGTGTGAGTTCATCTTGTTTGGGGTTTGCTCCGCTTGTTGAATATACAGAGTGTTTTATTTTATTTTTGTTTTTTGCCAAATTCAGGTAAGTTACAGCTACTACTTTGAATACTTTTCAACCACACCTTCTTTCTTCTCTCCTCATGGGATTTGAATGATGAGAATATTAGCTCTTTTGTTATAGTCCCACAGGCGTTTGAGGCTCTGTTGTTATGTTTTCCAATTTGTTTTCTCTCTGTTGCTTCGGTTGAGAAGTTTCTCTTCCATCTTCAGGCTCACTGGTTTATTTCTCTGCCTTCTGCTGTTGACCCTATCCATTGACAGTTTTACTTCAGTTATGTATTTTTCAGTTCTAAAAATTTCACTTCGTTCTCGCATCTTTTGTTTCTTTGCTGAGATTTTGTCTTTTTTCATTTGTTTCAAGCAAGTTCATAATTATTTGAGGCTTTTTTAAAATGGTGGCTGCTTTAAAATCCTCTTAGATGATTCTAAATTTTTGCCACTTCAGTGTCTTTTCTCAGCTGAGGTTTCCTGATTCTTGGTATGATGAGTGATTATAGATTGAAATCTGGACATCTGAGTATTAGGTGATGAGACTCTGGATTTTACTTACTTCTTCTGTGTTAGCAGGTCTCCTGTGACATTATTCCAATGGGGAAGGCAGAGTGCTGTCTCATTTCTACCAAGGGCGAGTGGAAGCCCAGGCCTCCCACTTGGCTTCTGTTGACACCCAAGTGGGAAGGGATCTTCATTACTCCACCAACACCAGCTTGGTTGGAAGGGGTGAGGTGCCTCCTTACTGTTCCCCATGTGGTCTCCACTTAATCCAGTGGAGCATGGGGGTTGGCGGGGGTGGGGGGAGATGTTGTTACTGCTCAGCATCAGTGCAAGTCCCAGTTCCTCACTTGGTGTTGTCTGACATCACTCCAGTGGTACTTCATTTTAGCCTGATGTACCTAGAAGTTTAAGCTTCCTATTGGGTCTTTCTAGCTGGGGTGAGAACATTTTATTTTGCAGTGCTAACTGGAATTGAGTGGTTATTGTTTAAAAGTTTTCTGTATTCCTAGGCTGCCTCTGTCCTAGCTCTTTGGCTAGTGTGATGGATTGAGCAGTGACACCCCCCACCCCCCCAAAAAAAGTATGGTCATGTCCTAATTCCCAGAACCTGTAAGCATTACCTTATATGGCAAAATATGTGATTAAGGATTTTGAGAAGAGGAGCTATCCCAAAGTTTTGGGATGGGTCCTAAATCTAACAAGTGTCCTTATAAAGACAGGAGAGATTTGACAAATTGAAAAGGAGGCAACGTAACCACATATGCACAAACTGGTCAGATGTACTGATATACCAAAGATCACCTAGAGCCATCAGAAGCTGGAAGAGGAAACGAACATATCTCCCCTAGAAATTTGAAGGGAGTGTAGCCATACCAGCATCTTGATTTCTAACTTCTGGCCTCTAGTACTTCTAGAACTGTGAGAGAACACATTTTTGTTGTTTTAAGCCACCCAGTTTGTGGAAGTAGAATGCTGCTATAACAAATACCTAAGTACGTGGAAGTGGCTTTGGAATTAGATAATGGATGGAGACTAGAAGAATTCTGAGGTGTATGATAGAAACAGCTCGGGTTACCTTAGACTCCTGGTAATAAAAACAGGCATTAAAGACATTGATGAGGGCTCAGAAGGTGAAAAGCGTGGCAGAAAAATCTTGTATCATCTTACTGAACTCATACATCATTGACAGAATGTTGGTAGAAATAGGAATGTTACTTGACTGAACTGTGTTCTGCCATTATGTGGAAAGCGAAACTTCTAGGCAATGAACCTGGATGTTTAGCTGCAGAGATTTCCAATCAAAGCACATAACGTGAGGGTGTAACCTGATTTCTCCTTGTTGCTCATAGTAACATGCAAAAGGAAGGAAATAAATTGAAGAAAGGACTGTAAGGAAAAAAAAAAAAAGGACCAGCACTGGATGATTTGCAAGGCCCTCAGCCTATTCAGATTGCAAAGGTGCTAAAATGAAGAAGTTCACTGGGGGGAGGGGGGGGTGCGGGGAGGGGGAGGAAGCATCTCTGCAGAGGAGGCCAAGGGTGCAGCTGGACAAACTTTTGTTGAAGAGATTATGTGTGTGACTCACAGACCCACCCAATCATCGCCCCAGAAGCCAGGGCTAGAGATGGGGTTGTCTAACGGCATGGACTCTCAGGACACACATAGGGGACCCACAAAAGTTCTGAAACTATCACAGAAACCAGCTTGGATGGGAGGGGCCAGAGAGAGGATGAAAAGGGATGCCTGTTGGACTTCCCAAACTCTGCAGGCAGGGAACGGTTGATAGAGTCACTCAGTCGTAAACATGTGCTAGCCTTCAAGAAAAAGAATGATTCAGAGAGCTGGGCCATGGATACAAACAGAGGCTGGAGGAATGGGAACAGAAGCAGAGGCCCATGAGTCATTGTGGGCACGGACTCAAGAGGCCTATGGAGCTGGCTTGGGCCCAGTGGGTGGAGCCTCAAGCGACGGAGAATTATTCTCAAGACTTGAAACCTAATGGAATTTGCCAACTGGATTTCAAGCTAGCTTGAGACTGATAACTCCTTTATTCCTTTCAACATCTTCCTTTTGGAATGGGAATGTCTATTACATGTGTATCTCACCATTGTATTTTGGAAGCAAGTACCTTGTTTTCTAGTTTCACAGGTCCACAGATAGAGGACTTTTGAGCCAGGATGGATGAGGCCAAGTCTCAAAAGTGATGAAGATGATGAAATTCAGGACTTCTGGGCTGATGACATTTAGGTTGTGGTTGTGGACTTGGTTCTGTAATGGGTTGAGACTTTGGGGAATGTTAGGATGGGGTAAATGTCTTTTACGTGTGGGCTGAGCATGAATTTCGAGGGGCTAGGTAGACTTCAGTGGGTCGAGTGGTGCCCCTCTGCTAGAAGAAGTGTCCGCACCCAAAACCCCTTACGTGGCAAAACACGTGATTAAATGAAGGGTCTTGAGAAGAGCTTATCCTGGATTATGCCGATCAGCCCTAAACTCAATCACAGGGACTCTAATAAGACGCACACAGGAGAGAGTTGACAGAAGATGAAGGGGCAATGCGAACGTGGAGGCAGAAATGCAGCCACAAGTCGAGGACCCCCTGGACTCCCTAGAAGCTGGAGGAAACAAGTAACAGAATCTCCCTGGAGCTCCTGGAGGAAGCGCTGTCCTGTCAGCATCTTGCTTCCAGACTTCCGGCCTCCAGAACTGGGAGAGCACAGACTTCTGGTTCTGTGGTCCTCTGTAACAGCTGCTCTGGGCATCTCATACCGCTAGAGGGAGCCAGGTTCTTCAGTTGTGCCCGCTGGGTGGCTTCTCCAGCACCCACTTGGGGACAGATGAGGTGAAAGCAAAGCCCAGGGAGCTCCCCACCATGTCCTTCCTCAGGTCCAAGATCCCTAGCTGGTCTGCCGCCTTCTACCTTTCAGAGTCTTCCTCTATTTGCTTGTATGTAAGGTTGACAGGTTTCAGCTATACTTAAAGGGAGGAATAGGGGAACGTACATCTACCATATCATTTTGGAAGTGCAAGTCCTACCTCCATGGTTTTCACTTTTTTAATCAATTAGCATATTCCAGTTAGTCTTTTTATTTAATATTTTAAAAAAAGTTTTAAAGTTTATTTATTTGTGTGTGTGTGTGTGGGGGGGGTGACAGAGAGGGAAAGAGAGAACCCCAAGCAGGCTCCGCACTGTCAGCACGGAGCCCGATGTTCGGCTCGAACTCACAAACCAATGAGATCATGACCTGAGCCAAAACGAAGAGTCGCTTAGCCCACAGAGCGACCCAGGTGCCCCTATGTTAGCCTTTTTAAACCGTTGCTTTGGTGATGTTATCTGCTTGCTAAAATTCTTCAGTGCCTATAAAATAAGCCCGTAACCCTTAGTCTCGCATTCCTTGCCTCCCCAGTCTGGCTCCGTTGCGGCCTCCCTTTCTGGTCTCACTTCCCACTAGGCTCCTCACCAGTGTTTCCAAAATCATGCTGCATCAAATGTTACACTCACACGGGGCAGGGGGACGGGGGCGGGAGATCTGTCAAAGGCATTTGGTCAACAGATTTACACAGTTAAGCCAGTTTATTATTAAAGGACTCTCAGAAACTTTACTACGCCAGTGTACAATGTGAATCTCCCAGAGGCAATTAAAGCGTAAGGCATTTCCTAAACTTACTTGACCATGAAACCCTTTGTACTGTTTCCATGGAAGCTAGTTTGTAAAACCCTCCAATTCCAACTTTCTTCTCTGACCACACTCGCCTATTGGTGATCATCCAAACACATTTTGTTTTCCTGCTTTCACATAAAGAACTTCTGTGAAACGCCACGGAAGCAGTGATGGTGCTAGGACACCATCTGATCCAGGCATGGTTCTATTTTATAACATTTTCCGTGAAGCCAGTTTTTCAGTTCCGAAGTCCTGACCATAAATATTGCCAAAAATGGGTTGTGGAACCCGGTAGAAATGTTCGAGTCATGTTACAAAACATAGAAGCTATTTTTTAAATAAGTCAATTTAATAATACTGCTAGATGATCCGAGAAGCAGGTGCTCCCCTGGCCCACCACCACCGCACACAGATGTGTCTGAGCAGAGATGGGGTGGGCACAGCTGTCTTTTCTTCTTCCCTTCTTCCGCAGGATAACGCGCTCCCGGGTAGCCTCCGGACCCGAAGGAAGGAAACTGCTCCCTGAGCCGGTGCTAGCAAGTCACTCTGTGGCTTTAAGGGCTGCGGGTGGGGAGAGCCGGCATTCACCTACGACCTGGCTGACCTGGCCGAGGGGGCACAGTCACCTAAGTAGTGGGTAAAAGGGAAACTTTAGCAGCAGTGAAATGAAAAGAGGAAGAGACAGGATGGGGATTGGGGCCAGGCCGAGTCTACGATTTAAAAGTCTGTTTAGTTCCAAATCCAGACGAAACATCAGCTGTGGGGACAGGCAGATCAGGGCCTCTGGAGATCAGGAGGGCTCAGGAGAGGGCAGGCGGACCCCAAGCGTCCTCCACAGTTTGTCCCGGAAGAGGCACGTTAGGCAATTGTCCAGTGGTCTGTGGGGAAAGTACTTTGAGAACTTTTTTCAGACCAGAGGAGGCAGCTGCAGGGCTCGTGCCCGGCAGCAGTGTTTGTTGAGCCTCTGCGACGCAGGACTCCCAGTGTGCAGACAAGTTGCTGGCAGCGCCCGCGGAGGACCCTAGCCCTGGCCCACGGTGAATGTCACAGCTCCTGGGGAAGCGAGAAGATCTCTGTCTGGGTGCCGAAGACTGCTGGGACATTGTGACGGCAGGGGCCACCGTGCAAGGGCCTTGGGGCGGGTAGCCCCATCGGGTGGTCAAGGCCACCCACGCAGTCAGGAGGCCTGTTCCAGGCTATTCTGCTCTTCTTCTTCCGTCTGTAACCAGCTCCAGTCTAGAGACTGAAAGTCAACAGGCATGTTAAAAATACAGTGGCCACCAATAACCTTGGACTGCTTGTCTTCCTCAGGAGGCGACTAGCACGATTTAGAAGGAAATTTAAGTCCTCTCGTTAGTCACAGTCTTGTTACTGCAAGGTACTCTCAAGCTAAAGCTACACTTCCACAGCCGTACGGGAACTTTCCTTCGGCCTAGCTTGAAGCCCCCCAGATTCCGTGACTATGGAAACTAGACAGGCAGTTTTAGTACCAGCTGAGGCTCACGGCACTTCTCACCGTGGGTAGGTGGTACCAAGAGCTAACCTCAGCTCCCAGTTTCCAAGCCTACCTGATGAAATGGCCTGATAAGACTTCCTTTTCCTCTGGTAGAAGTGCAAAACACATGCTGTCAGGAGGAGGAATAAAAGATAGAGAAAGCCCCAAACCAGAGACGGACACTTGGATAAATAAGAAGTGATTACAATTAGCTAGCGACATCCCCTCGGATTCTTCGGGAAACTGAGAAGTTAGGGAGAGGCTAGAGGGTCACTGTATTGGCAGGAAAGGGCCCTTTAAAATCTGAGGAATGGCTCAGAGGCTTTGCCGTAAAATGTACCTGTACCTTGACTAGTTTTCATCAGGTTAGCTTCCCTATAACTAGTAGTGCTGACTGCTAAGCTCTGAGCTCCTGAGAGGCGGGGCTGTGACTGGTCCATGTTTTAGCCCCAGTCTGGCACAGCACTCCATACACACAGACAGTCAGCAGAGTTACAGAAACCGCAGGGAGAGGGAGACCTTCTCAGAATGACGTCCCCTCCCTTATCAAAATTAAGTGTTACGAGGACTGAATGAAATAGTGCCCGTAGAGGACTTGTACCCATTCAATAAGTGTTAGCATCACTATGAATAACAAATCTGTGTTAGAAAAGCATAAGCATATATGGAGATGGAGGAGACGCTGGATTGCCTTTGCATTTTCTTTCTCTGGTTTGCCATGGAGAGAAAGGACATGGAATAGGTGGGATTCACGTGGGCCATTACCCTTAAGCTCTGGTCCTGTTCTTTGATGGTGTCTTGCATCGCATTTTCTAGCTGGGTGCAGAGGCTGTGCGCTTCAGCCACCAGCTCTTCACTAAGGAAAACGAGCAAATTATTAGAAGATGGCCAACGTGAATTTTCAGAGACGATGCTACAGAGATTTTGACAAGGTTTTAAAAATGAAATTACAATCATTTTGATGCTGAGTGTCGTAAAGCGCCGTGTCATTGACCAGTAATCTCATTCACAGTTAAGCACTTTTCAGAAGCCCACCCTCAGCCATAAGCGTTACTGTTCACAGTGTGAAAGAGTGAGCAGATCTCTTTTTAATAGAAAAGTTAGGAGTAAATTCAGACAACTGAACTGAATTCTCTCCAAATTGCCAAAATCTAAAGATATCTCACAAATCACCTGTTTTCCAGTTTCTGAAATAGAAAAGAAATACACAGACCAAGTAATTTCACCATTTCTATAGTTCCTTGAGATCTGTGAAAAAGCAAGTTCTGGGAACCGATTTCTTTTTTTTTTTTTTTTAATTAATTTATTTTTTTTACAAATAGTTTATTGTCAAATTAGTTTCCACATAACACTCAGTGCTCATCCCCACACGTGTCCTCCTCCCCCCCATCCCCCCCTCCCCCCCACATCCATCAGTCCTCAGTTTTTGTCAGCATTCAAGAGAACCGATTTCTTTTAATCTGCTCTCTCTTTTCCAGGGTAAGAAATGTACCTGTCATGAACGGCCGTAGGGAGAAAGGGAAGAGTATAATAAGCCACTGTCCTATTTTAACCTCAGCTCTAGGACATGGACAGACAACCTGTGCTCCCGGGATGACTCTTCCAGAGCTTTGAGGAACCATCGGAGGGAACACGCCAAATCCAGGAAGACAGGGCCCTGGACCTCCACTCACCTTGCAAAGTATGACACTCTGATGAAAGGAACACAGGCCACCTTTCTGCTCAGCCTCTTCCACGAGCTACTAACTAGGTTGGAGGCTCAGGGCTAGCCCTAAAGGACAACGTAAGAGGCACTGGGCCTGGTTTCTATCCTCAAGCTCACAGTAGGTTGGGGAGAGAATTAAGAATCTAAGGTCACGTACGATTAAGGACCACAACAGTATAGTCTACGAGATCCCCCAAGCACAGGAACAGGATTTTTATTTTGTTTTGTTTCTAAAGCTTATTTTGAGACAGAGAGAGAGAGAGAGAGAGAGAGAAATGAGTGGAGGAGGGGCAGAGAGAGGGGGACAGAGGATCTGTTGAGAGGAGAGAACCTGACGTGGGGCTCGAACCCACAAACTGTGAGATTGTGACCTGAGCCAAAGTCAGACACTTAACTGACTGAGCCACCCAGGCGTTCCAGAACAGGATTTTTAAAACAACTTTTCTTTGGTCGCCTTTCTTTGGTTCTTCTGTAGTAGAGTATTGCCTTTTGGCGTGTGGGAGCCAGGAGTGAAAGCCGTATTCAGGATGGGATCTGATGTATATTAAGTGCCGAGGAGAGCACTGTACTTCCTGTGATTCATGAACTTCCCATAAGGCATTTTATTAACTGCCACCCTCTGCTTTTATCCCCCAAGGCTGTCTTTTCTCTTTTTCATTAAGTAAATATATCAATTAATAGGGTATTAAATGTCTGTGTAATAGTCAAGTATGTATACTCCTGAATTGTTTTCCTGATAATTTTCATTAATGAAAAGACCTTTTATTTTCAGTAGGAGGTTCTTATCATGTACATTACAGAAAGCTTTTCAAAAAGTCATTTACAATTACCATTTTGGGGATACAAAAATACAGTAAGTGTTTGTGTGTGAGAGAGAGGGGGTGGGGAAAGAGACAATGAGAATGAGGTGATGAATCTGCAAGGCTCCACATTCTTGCCTCCTAATTTTCTGACATACTTGTTTATACTGATAATATCTGTGTAATCCTTGTAGAATAGTATTGTCTTATTTGACCTCCCTATTTCCTGTGCACAGAATAAAACTAACTGGTTTTGTAAAATATATATATAATTGAGATACCATAAAGTTCACCCATTTAAAGTGTATATAATTCGACAGTTTTAGTATATTTACAGAGTTACACGATCTTGACCATAATCTAGTTTTAGAACATTTTTATCATGCGAAAAGAAACCTTGTGCCCATTGTCAGTCACTTCCCACCCAAACTCCCACCTGCCCTAGGCAATCATTAGTCTATTTTCTAGGTCTACAGACTTGCCGGCACAAAGGATTTTATCCATCGCCGGGGCCGGAGACCCGACACATAGGAGATGCTGAAGAAGCTGCATGGGACTGAACTGGGAACAAAAACACCTACAGGCGGTCCAAGCAGAGAGCTGTGTATGCGAGCGGCCAGGGCACTGGAGGAGAGGGAGGCAGATGTGTCCTGTGGGTGGAAGGACCTCCCAGGACAGGACATCGACCGGCACGCGGAGGTTCTGGAACTTCAGAGCGCATCAGAAACCAGCCAAGGCTTCTGGAAGGCTGACTGCTGAGCCCCGCCGCCGAGCGGCTGATTCAGCATCTGCGTTTCTAACAAGCGCCCTGATGCCGCTGATGCTGGTCTGGCTCAGACTTTGAGAAGCGCTGGGCCAGGGCAGGGAGTCTGTGTGGGGACGGGGGATTTGCCTGGACAGTGGCTCAGATGTGGCTGCAGCTGTCTGAAAAGTCTCAGGTTGAATCCTCTGGGGGAGGGGGAGGCCACAACTAGTTACTGGACAAAAAATAACTTGATCGAATGGTTTTCTGTGAAGACTAATTTGACTAGGGTGGGCTTGAAGCAGGACCGGATGGGAAGCAGGGAGGCCAAAGGCCTCGCAGGAAGGGCTGAAATGCTGTTCACCACCTCTGTGGCAGTGGCCTAGGTGACAGGAGGGGAAAGCAAGGGAGAAGAGGGGGGTGAGGTGAGGCAGTGAGAGGAAAACCCTAATATGGTAACTCAGAGCGGTGGGAGGTGAGAGGGAGGAGGCAAGATGACTGAGGCGTGGCCAACAGGGTACCCCCTGTGGGAAGTCTGGTTCTGAACAACAGATGATGGCTGATGGGACTATGTAATAGCACGTGACTGACCAGCACCTTCAGTGTCCTCATTAAGCAATCAGTAATCCAATCCTTAGACAAGGCAACTACTTAGTTAACAAGTTGCAAGGACCTAGAGAGCAAAGTATCACACCTGCCTAGCATTTTAACAAACACAAAGAAACACACGCCCAAAGTCACTAGACAGATAAAATGCTCTATCAGTGATAAACATGGCCATCCACTCCCATGACCTCCCGGTGCACCCAGGCCATCACACCGGCACCTTACAGTGACCTACCTTTTCTTGATGGACTCGGGTAAGCTGTTAGGGGCAGTGGAGGGCTGAGGCATCAGCTGACCGGAGTGACTGAGGCGAGCAGCATTCATGCTATCTGGGCTCCCACTCACAGGACCACGAACTTTGCTCTAAAGGACAAAGCCAAAACAGAGTCAACAGAATTTTGGAGCAGAGGGATGATTCCAATTTTGCATTCACACCGTGGTATTTTCTCCTGAAACAATGGGTCATGAGACACTAGCTGTCCCTACAAAGTTTTAGTCAACATCCCTGCTCATGGCCACAGTCTGCATTTAGGCTTAGAAAATCTTTCCGCATCTATAGGTGTAATTTTTTTTTAATGTTTTAAAATGTCTATTTACTTTTGAGAGAGAGAGGGAGAGAGAGAGTGCGCGAGGGGCAGAGAGAGGGAGGCACAGAATCCAAAGCAGGCTCCAGGCTCTGAGCTGCCTGATGTGGGGCTTGAACTCACGAACCGTGAGATCATGACCTGAGCTGAAGTCCAATGCTTAACTGACTGAGCCACCCAGGCGCCCCTAGAGGTCTATTTTTTGATAGAAGATTGTAAGTATAGGGAGATTGGAATACCTATCTTTGTAAGCTTCATTCATTAGTTTGATTGCTTCACAAACTCTTATAAGGAAATTAAGGAGATGTCTTTGCAGCCTCAAATAGAAGACTGAGACATCTCAGAAGGTTGTAAGTGGCCTTCTGTCAATCGCACCATCTGTGGGACAGCTGAGATGAAAACCAAGACATCCTGACCTCCCAGCTGCTGCAGCCGCTCCACCTCAGTCAAGATGTTAAGCCAGTGGCTCCTGCTCCAGCTGCTCGCACCTCCTCACACCTGCAGCCCTCAGATGACCTATGCCAACCTTCCCAGCACCTCGGGTTTCGCCCCACCCCAAGTTTCCAGCCGAACTCTCATCTGTTGGCCTCATGTCTTCACAGACCCAGCGCCCGCCCTCCCCGTGGCCCACGGGTCTTCAATCCCGCTCAGCCTCACGAGCCACGGGACCCATCCTGGTTCCACATCCTTCCTTCCAGCTGACAGTCAAGGTCCGGCTGCGACCAGTCAGTCAAGTCCCCAGTTTTGCCCTGCTCATGGTCACTCGTGGAGGGACCCCACACCCACCTCCTCCGCTCAGCCTGGGCCTGCGGGAGAGCAGCCCTTCCACTGTCTCGTCCTGTGCACCCCCGGGGCTCTGCAACTCCAGCCCCCGGAGCGGCGCCCCTGCTCCGTGCCGAGGTCCGCCAAAGTCGCAGATCCGTTCCCCAGCTGCCGTGAGGGATTTCCCTAAAACCCAAATGTGACCATACCATTCCCATACTTAACTTCCTTTGACACGAGAGAGAAAAACAAATTCCGTAGTGTGTTCTCTGCCTTCGAAATAAAGTGTGGCCTGCATAAGCCGGTTCGCCTGCCTCCGCAATTTCATTCCAAACAACAGCCCTTCCCCCCGACACCACACCACTCTGCGTGTAGCACCCGGAACACACCTACTCCTTCAGGCCTCCGTGCCTCTGACAGAGCGATGTCTGCATCCTGGAATGTCATCTCCACCTACCCACCTGCCTACCTCCTACTCACTCTTCTGTTGAAACAACACTTCCTTGTGAACGTTCCCTGAGGTTCCCACACCTCCAAGACTGAAGCTAACGTTCCTCCTTTGCATTCAGGCTATGGCTCATGCTCACAGCACTACGGCTGCTGAGAAGCACTTCCGGTCCCGAATCTGAATTCACTTCCCTGCGTGTGCCCTTCACCAGATTCTCAGCTCGTGGGCCGGGTAACGCGCTTCTTTCCTCCTTTACCTCCAGTTTTCATCTCACTCCTGGGCACATGGTCAGCACTCAGCAACTGTCATGTGAATGCAGACGGCGTTATCAGGCGTCACTGGAAATACCTCAACTTCCCTCTCCTTCCTGAAGCTTCTCTCCTTGTCATCTCTCCTTTTTTAACTTTCTCCCTTTCTTACAGGAGGAAACATTACTCATCCCTTCCCAAGGCCGATCCTTCCATGCATGCCCGTGAAGCTGATACCCCACTCCTCTCTGGACTGGGACACTCAACTGCCTCCTACCTCTCTGACACTGTGACTGTCCCAGGGCACCGTCTCCTGCCTGACCTACAAATATGCTCCAGTCCATGATCTTAAAAACACCATCCTTGCACCCTGCCTCCGCCGTAAGCAACTATCTTCCCATTCTGCTCTTCGCTCTTAAACACCAAGGTGGTGACAGCAGCCTGGAGGTGGAAAGGCCCAGGAGGCTGGCGGGCCGGGGGCTGGGGGCCCGGCCGTGGGGGGCTCACTCACACAGGCGATCTTCAGGAGATTCCAGAGCTCCTTCTGTCGCTTCTCCTGAAGCCGGACGACAGTCTTCTCGTCTTCATTCATTAAACTCACCACCTCTTCCACCTTGGGCAACAATTCCAGAGCCTTCTGCTTGCAAAGCACCGTTTTACTGTAAAGAATAAATGTGACAAACTCCAGTGGCATTGGGGGTAGAGAAAACAGGAGAACATAATCCCTGGAATTATGTATCCAACAGCAGCCATAGATAAATCGCCTTCAGGGTAAGCAAGTCAGAGGGCCGTGAGGAAATGGCCTCACACGGGGCCTCACCACTTCCTGAATTCCACCCCGAAGTAGGGAAGCTGGGGCAGATACCTGAGCTGCGTATAAATCACTCGCACTTTCTTCTCAAAGCCTTGGATGGCCTGAAGGAGCAGCCGGACCATTTCAAGACTGTCACCATCAGTTCGCTGGTCTGGAAAGAGGAAAGGAGGCACACAGTTCCTCCAGAGGCTGGCAGCGAGTGCCAACGCCACACACAACAGAATGAGAACCGTGAGGCAGCCAGAATGCCCCACTTACCTCTGGGTTTCTCCCGAAGTCTCCTGTAAAGCTCCCTCGCTTGCTCTTCTCTGAAATACACAAAGGGGAAATTCTGTCAAGATGCTGAGGTCAAATAAGCACGTGTGGAACACTGGTTAGTCAATTCCTGCCCGTAGAATCACTGACTTAGAGGCAAGACCAGCACTACATCTTGACTGGAGGAAATTACTAACCCTGGTGATGCTATAGGTGACACCTAAGACTCAAAACTCACCCATCAAAATTATCAAAACTCACCCATCTCTCCAAGAGAGAGAGAATCTTTTTTTTCTTTAAGTTTATTTTTATTTACTTTGAGAGAGAATGAGCAAGCAAAGGAGGGGCAGAGAGAGAGAGAGAGAGAGAGAGAGAGAGTGACTCATAAGCAGGCTCTGTGCTGTCAGTGCAGAGCCTGATTTGGGGCTCGAACTCACAAACTGTGAGATTATGACCTAGGCTGAAACCAAGAGTCATATGCTTAACTGACTGAGCCACTCAGGTGCCCCTAATGAGAACAATTCCTAAGAAAAGGAGTTTACACTCTGTCCCTTGGAATTTCCTGTCCACGTGGGTTCTGGAATGGTGATTCCAGCGCCATCACTGGACCTAAGCCTGGAGAACACGGGCCCCCCGTGAAAACCCAAGCCCAAGGGCAGACACAAACTTCTATCCCTTTTCCGCCTCAACACAGTGAAACCTGCTGACATTTCCGAGGTGACTTTCAGTTGAAAATTAAAGGAGAATAAAGGGTTAAATAACTCAAGAAAATACAGAATACGAATCATCAGGTTTCTGATGTTCGAACTTCTGGTCCTGCGAATCCTGGTAGAGACTGCAGGATAGCACTCAGCCCCGTGGGAACTCCCATGAGTTTGAGGCAGCTCACGTCTCCCTCCCATCTGTGCTTTCCTTCGGGGGGGGGGGGGGGGGGGACTGCTTTGCCTGGGCACCTTATTACCTCCCAGAGCCAAGGCCAGATTCCTGATAAAGACTCAAATGAACAGTTTCCGAGTTCGAAATCTTAAGACCTGCTGGGCTCCTCTGTTCTACTTTCTGCTCTTTGAGCCACACCCGGGTGCGGGCGGGCTGCGCGAACAGTGACGTCTGATGCCATGGTTAAAGCTCCTTTATCAGGCTTTATAGCTGATGAACTCCTGCTCTATCTGAATCACCTGAATTGATCTTTACAACTCTGTGAGGACGGACAAGTCTCAGCACTTGATAGACACGGAAATGAAGGCCGACAGTGATGGCGACTGGCCCTTGCTCATCTCTGGGACTCAGCTGGAACATGCCAAGACGCTTCGCCAGGGGATCACGCTCTATGGAATGGTCTCACAGAGCTTCTACGATACCACACTTGAGCACTTATGTGATCCCAACACACGTATGGAAGTCTGGCCCGGGCGTCTGTGGGTCAGCCTGTGGTCGGCCGCCTGGTCGGTACTCACAGGTCGTCCAGTGTGCCCCCCTGCTTCCGCCCCATGGGGCTCCTCTGCAGGTCCACGATGTCAGTCTGCAGTGCCATCATCCGCTCCACCAGGTGCTTCACCTCATTCTCCTGATGAAAAAGCTGTGCTGATGTCAACTGACGCAATAAGGGCGCTCTGAGATGCGAGCTTTGGGGGGAACACCTTCCAAACTCACCGAAGACTCTCACCTGACTGGCTAGAAGGGACAGAGACTCTGCAGTCAGAGGCCTGGGTGTGCATCTCGGGACTACCACTTTCTAGCTGTGCGACCCATGGGGAAAGCGCCTAACTCCTGAGCTGCAGTTTCCTCCGCCATAAAATAGGCTTCTAATGGGACCATTTTAGGAGTGAGATAAGATACAGTACATAAAGTATCCGGCACGGTACCTGGCACGGAGAAGATGCCCAATGTACATTCTCTCTGCCCCTGTCTGCCCCAAAGCCATCTCATGTCAGGAGGCCTGGGCTCCTCTCTTTCAGAGATTCTGGATGTGAGTGCCAGGATGGGTTGGAGATATGGTCAGAGAAGGTACTACCTACATAATCTCCACTTTTAAGCACACACATATTAGTATCGATTTATAGAAACTGATGTTAAGACACAGAGGTGAAGGTCTCTACCCAAGTTCACAGAAGAAAATGGTAAAAAGTCCAGAAAAGGCCTTGGGGGCTTCTGTCTTCAATTTGCCTGAGGGTCACTAAGCCATACTTCCTTCCCTTGCCTCATAATTAACGTTTTTCAGTGGCACTTAATTTATGCTGTCCTAAAATATTATGCTTACACTTTTTCTTTCCTATGGATTTAGTGTCCCAACAAAACTAGGCAAACCGCCTGGCCTGGTGGGGTGTTGATCATTCATCTGAGGCCCTTTCTGATAGGAAGAGGCCTGGGCTTCCCGTAAGGGCACTTCCCATTCTGTGCCTTGTTCAAATGCGCACCAGGTCTGTGCAGCAACTGCATCCACCACCGTGGGGCCCCCTTTACTGGCCACCGGCCTGGTCTCTTCCCAGCAAGTCCCAGCTAGGGTCAGAGAGCCTGGCGAGGACCACCTGATTCGGGACATACGAGATGGATCTGGTGTTCGAGGAGAGGGCGAGAAAAGGTTGTCGGAAGCCTCTCCCCGCTCGGTGAGAACGGGAAACTAAAACGAGTCTCCTACCCGCCCACAGAGCTCCACAGCCTGCTCCATTTCCCTCCAGGCCAGCAGCAGTTTATCTGATGCTGGAAAAAAAAATGTAGGGGGAAAAAAAAAAAAGAAAAGCAAAATGAAAACACCACAAAACCAAAATAGAAACAAGCAACTCAATTATAAGAGGCAAAAGAAACCTCAGGAAGGGGTGGCGGGGGGGCGGGGGGGGGGTGGCGAGGAAGACAGTAATGGTCTTTCCAAACTCATTGCAGAGAGTACACTCACTGATCCCAAACTCCGTCTGCTCACTGTACTTCTCCAGGTCAATCTGGATGCTGGTTTTAAAGAAATCCAACTTGGCTTTGAGCTGCTGAGACATGGAAGCCATAGAATTCTTCATCTTGGAGAGGCAGCTATTATTGCGGAGGAGATTCATCCTGCAGGGACCACAAGAAACAGAGCCTTCGGGCATGTCTGGGATCCAAATACCATTTCCTGTACAACAGCAAAACCACCTCAAACGCCAAGGCAGGTCCCTACCATACTTATTATTATTGTAACAAAAGCATCCACTTACAATCATACAATTTCCTAGTCCTCAGCCGGCACCGGAATAAGGCAAAGTACCACACAAAGGGCCAGTAACCCCAGCTAGTCATAACCCGGGGAGAGAGGCAGGCAGTCCCTGGCGTGACAGTCAGAGCTTTGCTGACCCAAAATGCCACGAACTTTTCCACTTTCCAAAATCTGCCCCCAGGTCAGCCAGCTCAGCCCTCAGTTTACACTGCTGCTCCATGGGCTGGCCTCACTCACCTCGTAAAGCCTAAAAGGGCCTCTCTCAGTCCTGCCCACCTGACCACTTCCTGCCTGTCCAAACCAGTGTCTCCCGCTTGTCTCTCCTACCAGTTGCTTCTGGACCCCTGCCTCCGCCACCTCCCTGTGGCAAAAGCCACCAAGCCCTTGTGAATAAGCCCCAAACCGCCTGGCACAATACATGGCAGCTCGCTGTCCCTGCTGCAGCCGGTTACAGTCTTCCTTCAGGGTCTGGATGCTGTGCCAGACCTGGCCCCACACCTTCCTCAGCTGGAAGAAGGAGAGGTTCCTCTTGGGCTCTTGAACTGGAACAGAGACGTATGCAACCGTCAGAGAAAAACTGCCCTGCGATTAACTGTGTCATGCCCTGTGACATCGCCTGCCCTTTGACATTTTTCAGTTGCAGAACTGAACTACTATGTTATTGACACAACCCTCTTGGGTGGTAAGCCTGGTTACTGCCACAGACATTTTTTGTATCCCATTAACAGCACAAGCACATACCAGTCAGCAAATACCTGCTGATTTGAAGAAACACTCTGTGAACCATGTAGAGTCAATCACACGTACACTGGCTCTGATGCTTTCAACAGAAACCTTTATGTTTACGATATTTAAGATTATATGAAGTTTTCTAAAATCCAGCTTCGACCAGTAGTACTGGAACATGATTAAATAAGCAATAAGTCTGGAACTAAGACTCTGGACCCTAGATCTGCTTATTGTGAGTGAGTGAGTGAGTGAGTGTGTAAGAGTGTGTGTGTGTGTGTGTATGATAGCAGGAATGGCAGATGCATTAAAATGTCCATCTAACACTCATACAATGGAATATTATACAGGTGTTAAAAATAAGCAGCTCTGTGTGCACCAGCAGGGGGAAAATCTCTATACACATTGTATGCTACCATACACTTTGGGGGAAAGTACATACACACTTTATAATGCATAGAATACCCCTGGAAGGTAGACCCAAGAACTTGACAGGAGTGGTCTCCTTGCAAGAAACTGGAAAATCGGGAAGAGAGGCTGGCTTATTTGTCACTGTGTATATTCTCTTATATCTTTTGATTTTTTTTGTATCATGTATAAAATATAAGTAAAACTTCAAAAATAAATAAAATGGCCATTTGATTAGAACAAGTTCAGAGGTGCGAAGGCAGCTTTCTCTGTCCTATGTTTAGAATTCTGTTTGTGAGGCTGAAATTGAAGACTTCCTTTACTCTTTTTTGGCTGGGCTACTCCTATGTCCCAAGTAAAGAAGATTGCCCCAGTGACTGGATAAGCTCGTCTCGTTGGTGTGGACCCCTCTCCTGGTCCATGACTGTCCCTCCTACTCTGTCCCAAGCATTGTAAGTGATTATTAAAAAAATTTTTTTAATGTTTACTTATTTTGAGAGAGAAAGAGAGACAGAATGTGAGTGGGGGAGGTGAAGAGAGAGAGGGAGACAGAATCTCAAGCAGGCTCCAGGCTCTGCACTGTCAGCACAGAGCCCAGTGTGGAGCTCGAACCTACAAACTGTGAGATCATGACCTGAGCCGAAGTTTAGTGCTTAACCGACTGAGCCCCCCAGGTGCCCCACAAGTGATTATTTAAGAAACCAAAAACAGAAACAGAAACAAAAACAAAAACAACCCAATGATGTTCTTACGGATACAGCTGACGCTTTCAGGCTGGGGCCGTGGGGAGATCTGAGTCTCATACGTGATTTTACTGTTGTCAAAGAGGAAGACGAGATCCATGTCCAATGTGCGGCCCTCATTCAGCTGCAAAAGGACAAGAGGAAGTTGAGATCTTGTGGATCCCACCCCCTCCTCTTCCAAGTAATAACAAAGAGATTTCAGGGCATGTCCCACTATTTAGCAACGGCATCATCTTCAGCCAGCAAGTGCTGAGCTCCCATGAAGCCTTTCTTAATGACTCCAGCCTAGACCTCCCTTTCCTGTTCCTTTTACACTTTTTTTTAATGTTTATTTTGTTATTTATTTTTGAGGGAGGAAAAGGGAAGAGAGAGAGGGAGACAGAATCCCAAGCAAGCTCCATACTGTCAGTGCAGAGCCTGAAGCAGGGCTCAAACCCACAAACCATGAGATCCTGACCTGCGCTAAAACCAAGAGTCGGACGCTTAACCGACTGAGCCCCCCGAGGAGGCCCTTTTACATTTATTATCCACACGCACACCTCATTCACAACTTATTACATTCTATCTTATTTTCTACTGTCTTTACTGTGCAGTTGAGATGTTCGCTCTCTCCCTCCTCACCCATGGCTGTTTCTCACATGTTCACTTTGTCGGCTCTTTGGGGGCAGGGACCAAGCCCCGCATAGCTGCAGACGTCAGCACAGCTCTGTACACAACAGTTGTGGCTGATTCGGAGGAATGAAGCGCTGCTCTGGCAACAGAGCCCATAGAAAGGCACTGAGTGGTCTCAGAGCACCAAGTCAAGTGCGCAGGATTCATGTCTCCTATTAGACCACGCAGGGGATCTCACATTCCAACTTATCTGCACTGAGTGACAAAATAGAGCTGAAATCTGCGTGCGCAGTTATTCCCCTGGAGGCAAAGCCAGGAAAACCGGGGTATTGTGCAGGGAGCGGGGCTTCACCTTCCCCTCCGAAATACACTGAGTCGCCGGCTTGTCAGGGATCAACGCCAGACCAGCTTCCTGCAGCAGCTCCTGGTCCTCCTCAGGGATCCCTGTGTCATTCTGGATTCTGGCCTTCAAGCTCTGCAGACTCTCGTCTTCTGTCACTGGGTAGGTGTGAATGATGCCTGTGACCATGTTCAAGATGTGAACCAGCTGCAACACAACCCATATGTTACTGGAAACTAAACCCCGTCTTTACGGAGAGGCCCACCTTCCAGCATTTCCCAGCCATACGAAGAAAGGGGCTGCTGGGGGAAGGGAGTCTCGGTGCCAGAGTCTGCAGATTCTGGTCCTTAATGCTGCTCTTTGTCCGCAGTGTGACCTTAGAACCGATGTCAGTCAGCATGGGGGCTGACGCTGTCACAGGAGCCTTCCTTTCCACGGCTCAGATGGCCCGTGACTTGCTTTTGCAGGAGCTCTTCTTTGTCCCCAGCCCTGCCACGGCCCATCGGGGACCTGCTGCCTTGAGGCTAGTCTGGCTCCACACTCACCTTGAGGTTTAAGATGTCATCCAGGGCCTTGAAGCAGCCATTGGGCCCGTACACGGGATCAGTGCCCCTCTGTCGTGGGTGCCACATCAGCATCAGCTGCAGCCACTTCTCCAGTCGCTGTGCCAGGACACTGAGAGGAAGATGAGCACACAATAGGAGACCACTCCAACACCAGCCTCAGGAGGCCTTACCACGCACACCTCACGTGTGTTCACCGCACTCATAGCCACGGCAGCCAATACGTGATGACTGAAGATGAATTAATCTGACAGATAGAGAACGCTTCCAGCCAAACAAATGATTCGGGTGCTGCCCTGATCTGCTACAACACCCCCTGAAGTTCAGGATTTCTCACCAGACCAAATTTCCACCTGGCTGCATGAGAAGGAACTGTGAAGCTCTTTAAATGCACTTTATAGGCATGTCCCACCTCCAGGCAACACCCCCATACAATCTAGACCCCGTGCCGCCAGATTTATTTTGTGAATCCACCCCCGTCCGCAAAAGCACTCATGGTTCCCCCAACAAAGTTCATGCCCCTTTCCGGGCACAGGCCTACCTCATGCACGTGCTCTCAGCCTCCACAGAGGCCAACTCCCTACTCACTGCCTCCTGCAACATGCCTTTGCTTCCCTCACTCCTTCCCCCTTGAATTTCCAGATCCTTCCAGAAAGTTCCAGCTCATCCAAAGTCATTCCATATATCTCTAATCCACTCCCCATCCTCTAAATACGTATGGTGATTACTTCCCATGCTACTCAGGTGTGTGTGGCTGCCTTGCTGTTTGCTTTTGTACTATTATTCAACACTGGCATTGCTATTTGTTCATATATTGGCTCTAAGACTATCATGCTGTTCAAACTACAAAGGTATTTGTTGACTATGACACAGCATGAGGCTACACAGGAGTGCAAAGAGAAGTAAAAATCCCATACCCTGAAAAGGCTTACAGTTGACTAGGAGATAAATGCTATACAAAACCAAATGTAGTACAAGGTAGACGCTACTAAGGGCAGTAAGAGGTACAGATAAATTACTATGTGAATTTAGAAAAGAGAGGCTTTCTAGATGGGGTGAGGGGGTGGAATCCATTCTAAGTTGATGACTGAGACGGTCATGTCAAGTTCTTAGTCACAGGATGATAACTTGATAATCTATTTAAAAGCTATCAGGTGTCACCGCAGACATCTATTCTAAAAAGGGAAGAGAAGCTCATAGAGAAGTGCCGCTGGGCCTTACCTGTTCAGATTATTGGGGTAGGGTAAGGAGCTGGAAAACTTCACTGCTCCATTCAAGTCTTCACTGACAACAATGTCCATCTCACTCTTCTGCCGGACTTTGGAATGCCTGCAAATGTGTATCTCCTTAATTACAGCCCTTAAGTCACTCAGCAGGCAGGAGACATTGTACATTGGTAACATGGCGCTTTACAACTGTACAGGATACCCCTAGGTTGCAATTTTATCTTTGGGTAACAGTGCATTTGCTCTCTGCTAGGATGCCTTCCTTCCGAGCATGATAGTCTGTACTGCCTGAAGGAACCATCTTGTGCCCGGAGTTCCACAGCCGGTACTGCTTCTCCTTATCATTTTTTCTAACCCAAAATTCATGTTTTGAAAGAGGGTAAAATTAGAACCTCCGAACAAGGATCCCTGCATGCAGATCACATTTATAGGAAAAAACACACACCACATGCATGCACAGTGTACTTTCCTCTAAATGCATGTTATCTCTAATGACGAATGAACGCTTACATTTCCCAATTTAGAGAACTTAATGGCTGCATCTGAAATAGTATGTAAAGGGAAAAAAATTTAAATCCAACTAGTTTCAAACCTTTTTGGTGATGAGGAAGAGAACTTAAATTTGAATAATGCTTCATAGATAACCAAGTACTTCAGCAATGAACACACACTTCTTTGCCATGATAACCCCAGGTGGTAGACACTGGTTTTAGTTCCCCGTGCAGTGGTAAGGAAATAAAGATCAGGTGACTTGCCCGAGGTCACACAACTAAAGAGTGGCAGAAATGGGGACCCAAATCCCAAGTCTGCTGTTTTTTCCACTCTGGCTGAATGTCCAAGTCTTTCCTTCCCAAAAACACCTGGGAAATTCAGATAAAAAATGTTTTAGACCTGAACCCTTCTCAGCAGCAAGGGGTGAGTTGGCCTATCTGCAGCTGGCACACGGCAGAGGCTGGTGGTTCACAGCTCTGGCTGGAGCGGTGATCACTGTAAGGCAGGTGCACCAAGACTGCCGTCACAAACGAGTGACACAGGTGATCCTCTAATAGAATGCTTAGTCTGTCCATGGGAAATTATAAAAATAAAAGGCTGTAGTAAACAGAATGCTTATGGCTGAGGTCCTGTAATATATTCCAAAGTAGGATTGTAATAGAATTATAAAGCTCAAATCACATCTGCCTGAAATTACTCTCCACCTACCATCCGAGAGGAGAGAGTGGAAGTTTTAAAAAGCTGTCTAAGGCATTACAAAGCAGGTAAGACAGGCACTTCTCACAAACTATCCACCAAACGGCTCCTGACTGGGTGTCTGAGTAGCCTAGTTGAAACCATCGGCTGGCCTTCCAGCACCGGGGAGGGGCATTCTAAGAAGCTGATTCTGCAGACAGCAGATGCCAAGAGATCAGGGATACATTTTCAAATAGTACTTGTTCTTCTGGTAATAACGGATTTTAGCTCATCTTATTCAAAATAATGGTAAAGCTTGCCATTTGAACTGAAGAAATGCAACAATTCCTTGGTTAGTTAGAAACACCATTGATGTATAGATATACAGTATATAGTGTGACTATAAATTAATGAGCTAATTCCTCAATATTCTAGAACCTATGCAGGTCAAGTATTTCTTGTTTTATTTAAAACAATATTTTTTAATGTTTATTTTTATTTTTGAGAGAGAGAAAGAGAAACAGAGCACGGCATGGGAGGGGCAGAGAGAGGGAGACACAGAACCTGAAGCAGGCTCCAGGCTCCAAGCTGTCGGCACAAAACCCAACATGGGGCTTGAACCCACAAACTGTGAGATCATGACCTAAGCCGAAGTTGGACACTTAACCAATGGAGCCACCCAGGCGCCCCCAGTATTTGCTTGTTTTAAAATAAATCACCACAGGAGGGCGTTCTTTGCCACCTCACCAGACTCTTGAAGAGCAGGAACCTGGCCTCTTTCACCTCTGCACTTCCAAGTGTTTGGCTTATACATGTTGACTGAACCGTGTTGCCATCATATAAAACCACTCTCCTAGAATTGATTTCCAAGGCTCCATCTTAGAAAATAAATAATTCATGATGTAAATACTTATCTTTTCAAAAAGTTAATGTTTTCACTACTTCCAGAAAGGTATTCAGAAAAATGATAATAGCCAGTGTTAGCAATAGTGTGGTAAAAGGGGCAGCTTTGCATGTTTCTGGTAGAAACATTATTTATACAACCTTTCTGTTGAGCATTTTAATACCTATCAAAAACCTCTAAAACGTGCATAATCTTTGATCAATAAATTCCACTCCTAGGAATTATCCTAGGGAAATAATTATGGATATACAAGATTTCCTCACAAGGACATTACTCTTGGTTTTATTTTAAGAAGAAAAAATGATAAACCACCCATGCTTCCAATAACGGGATAAGTTAAATAAATTCCAGTATAGCCACTCATTTGAATACCAAACGGACATTACAAATAATGAAAAAAACATAAAGCATTTTCAATAGTAAGACTGAACAGCAGGTTATAAGAAAGTAGGTATAGCAACTTACGGATGTTTCTTTTTTTTTTTTTTTTTTTTTAAAGTATAACACATACGCTGAGGAGCCCGGAGACACACAGGAATGTTTGTAGTGGTTGTTTCTGGATTGTGTGAAGCCAGTTCCCATGGTGTAAAAATGCTCTGGGAGCACATGCAGGAGGGTTCATATTGTGCCGTAACTGATGTGAGAAAGGGGTGAAACATATAAACGAACCAACAGGCAAGTACAGGCCAATTTGTACCCGTACGGAACACCCTTGGAAGCATCCTGAAAACTAGTGGTATCAGGTGCCTGTGGGAAAGGAAGCCTGGTGGCTGGGAGGCCACTAAGAGATGGCTTCTCTGTGCACATTCTTTTTATACCTTTGGAAGCTTGAACCCTGTGAACTTATTACTGCTCCTAAAAGACACTCAAAAACTGAAAATAAAAACAAAATTTGGAACAACAGTAGCATCATTTATGTCTGTGTGGGGCCTCCCAAGGGACCCTCTGAATGAAACCTGATTTAGGGGGGATGTTCATTTTTAAACTATGTATTTTGGTAATGATTCTCCTTCACATGTTCCACAAACACTTATTTTTGTAATAAAAAAAGTAAAGCTATAGAGTAATTCTTTGAAAACTTAACTGTATCCTTTGGTTTGTTTCTTTTTTTAAAAATTTTTTAAATGTTTTTTTATTTATTTCTGAGAGAGACAGCGTGAGCAGGGGAGGGTCAGAGAGAGAGGGAGACAGAGAATCCGAAACAGGCTCCAGGCTCTGAGCTAGCTGTCAGCACAGAGCCCGACGTGGGGCTCGAACCCACAAACTGTGAGATCATGACTTGAGCTGAAGTTGGACACTTAACTGACTGAGCCACCCAGGCACTCCTCCTTTGGTTTTTTCTTAAAATTTTTTTGGTTAACTTATTTGTGTACACAATTGTTTACATTTTAAGCCACTTTGTTATGCTTCTGAATAAAAAACTGAGGGACACTTGGGTGGCTCAGTTGGTTAAGCGTTCGACTTGGTTTCAGCTCAGGTCATGATCTCACAGTTTGTGGGTTTGCAGTGACAGCATGGAGCGTGCTTGGGATTCTCCCTCCTCCTCTCTTTCTGCCCCTCCCACGCGCTCTCTCTCTCTCAAAAATAATAAATATTGGGGCGCCTGGGTGGCTTAGTCGGTTAAGCGTCCGACTTTCCGACTTTCGCTTAGGTCATGATCTCGCGTTTCGTGGGTTCGAGCCCCGCGTCGGGCTCTGTGCTGACTGCCAGCTCGGAGCCTGGAGCCTGTTTCAGAGTCTGTGACTCCCTCTCTCTCTGACCCTCCCCTGCTCACGCTGTCTCTCTCTCTCTCTCCTAGAAATAAAAATAAATAAATAAATATTTATATTTAAGCATAATAAAATTTGCCGACAGTACATTTCCATGTACATACTCCTCCTTGTCATACGTACATCCCCTTTATTTGTCTACGAATCCACAGCATCCTCCGTGGAGGTGCACACGCATATACAACAGTCTGTAAATGTACTGGCATGATGCCACTGACCGTAGAGTAAACATCATTTATATGGGATAATGCTTAACAATTGTTCTATTTCTCCAGGTTTTTGGAGTCTGGGCTGCCTACATGCTGGGCCCTCACAGGGCTTCCTCTCTGGGAGACAGATCACCGAAGTCTCGGGCCCAGGCTGGGAGCGCTCCGTGAGAGGGGAACAGGTGAAGGATGAGTCTAAGGTAGAGGGGCACCCTCCTCCCCGCAGGTGGTGCTCCTGGCCTCACCCACAGGCCCCAGTCCTACTCACCACTGCACGGGCTGCCAGTTAGGGAGGAAAGGTCGGAAGCCCGTGATGCACTCAAAGGCCAAGGTGCCGAAGCTCCAGTAGTCCACGGTCACTGTGTACTTCTGCTGCTCCAGGAGTTCCGGGGCCTGCATGAGGACAGGAGGTGGGGAACACCTGAGCCCCTCCCTTTTCTGAGCAGCCACCCCTGGAGGGGGCAACCAGCCCTTCTAATCATGTCCTCACACTTGCCCGAGTCTCTCCAGAGGTAGCTGGCATGTCCACTCAGAGGTGAGGGGCTGACCGCCAGTGTAGCTGGTGGTGTCTAGAATTTTTCTGTACCTCATTCACCCCTGATGCTGATACAAGGGCCCCTAGATGTATATTTAGGTAGGACCAGAGTACGTCATATGCCTCTTGGGTGCAGTGTCCAGGTGGGAAGTTACATACAAGAAGGAAAATGATTACAGTCTGTGTACACTAAATGCAAAATACATTAAATGCTGACTGAGTCTCCTAAACCAAGATGATTTAGGGCATGTGGCCGTACAGTGGGACAGGACATTTACAATCAGGCAGGAAAAAATGCCAGAGGCATGACTGCTGCCCAACAGAGAGAGCTGGAGTGACTAGGCGGGCATGGAACCCGATTCCAAAGAAGGCTCCTGCGAGGAGACATTCTAGAAAGGACCATCACAAGCAAAGGCGTGGAGATAGGACCGTGCACAGTCTGGCTAGAAGTGTCGCACTTCTGGAAGGGCCACGGAGTGCAAACCAAGAGAATGTGGGGGGTGATCAGATCAAGCTCTGGATCTGGTTATGGACAGAAGTTTTAGTTCCTGAAGGTGAAGGATGTGACTGAACCTCCTAGTCAGAGCTTGGGGTCCCCCGACTTGACCGCTGCTGAGCCCATGAGGATTCCAGAGGACACCCAGCAGGACCTACGTAACTACATGACAGGGACACAGGGGCCTGGATCATAGCTCCCCAGAGTCATCACTCTGAAAACTCTACTTCACTGGGTAGGTCGTAAATCCGTGGAGCCCATGATAAATCAGTGGAGCCCACTGGAGTAAAAATGCACTCAATTGAAGAGACTTTCAAGAATTTCTTTTTCTTTTTTAAGAACTTGATAAAATACTTAAGCTTATTTAGCCCAGTGGCTTTTGACCCTTTATTTCTTACACTGCAGACCCCTTTCCCAATCAAAATTTTACTGGTTGTTACCATCCACAAGCGACTCATTACCAAGACTTACTGAGTCTCTTGGTAGGCATTTCTTGACTGTTTTTCTCTCCACCCCCCCCCCCACACCCCCGCCACCAGCTCTGAGCTGCCAATCGCAACAGCCTCCTTACCACTCACCCACTATTTACTCTTGTTCAGTGCAATTCAATCTCCACTCTGTATCAAGAACGGTCTTTTCAAAGGGTAAACCCAACCCTCCTCCAACTTATAACCCCTCAATGTCTTCCTGGTCCTCCTTTGCTTCAATTTCCTCTCCTTCCCCGACCCTCAGCCCCTTTCTTCTACTCACCCTGCAGGTCCCAGACACAGTGAGGTCCCCCTAATACGTATTCTTATAACACCCTGAACTTTCTCCTTGTAACACTTATCACAATTTTAATTTCTTAGTTATTTGTGTAAGTTTGGGGGTAATGCCTGCTTTCTCGCTAAGCTCTAAGCTCTTTTTTTTTTTGTTTTGTTTTTTTTATTTTATTTCTAGGAGAGAGAGACAGCGTGAGCAGGGGAGGGTCAGAGAGAGAGGGAGTCACAGACTGAAACAGGCTCCAGGCTCCGAGCTGGCAGTCAGCACAGAGCCCGACGCGGGGCTCAAACCCACGGACCGCGAGATCATGACCTAAGCGAAAGTCGGAAAGTCGGACACTTAACCGACTAAGCCACCCAGGCGCCCCAGCTCTAAGCTCCTTTTAAAGACCAGGGGGATGCCTGTCTTCCTTCCCATCACACCACAGCTCCTAGCACAGACATAGACTACACTCAGTCAGCACTTTCCTGAATGAATGATTCACACAGAACCCCAAAATAGACCAAATAACGGACAGAAAGAGTGGGAGCTCAGAGCTCAGCTCCTTCTCGGTGGCCTTTTCAGACAAAATACCAAAGCCCAAGACGTTATGGGGTGTGGGAGAGGGCACGCACTGGCAAAGCCCTTCAGATGTCAGGGAGGATGTCCATATCCTTCCACTGGGCCTCTGTTGGGAAAACTTGCTGACTTGAACAGATCACGTCTCTTGTCATACAACAATTCCTATACATCTGGGAACATCTGAATGGCTGGTGGGACAGAGAGGAGCCGCACAAGTCCGGCCAGCAGGGAGAAACCGATAAGCAAACATGTAAATCCCGTTTCTTACCAGGTATTGCAGGGTCCCCACAAAGGAAGTACAAAGACTGCCCTGATCCAGTTCCTTGGCATATCCTAGGTCAATAATTTTGTGTATTAACTGGAAAAAGAAAAAAGAAAAGAAAAAAGGAGAAATCTGAGGGATATGAGAACATTGGTGACACAGCAGAGGTTATTTCTGAATTCCCAGCTGGTATTAGGTCCTCATAAACATGAAATATTTACATAGGAGACTGCCTCCAACATGGTAGATGTAGGGCAAGAGAAGATATAACTGTAAAAATGCTGAAAAAAAGGCGCATGTTCTCCTCACTTTGCAGCTAATCACCACAGGAAAATCAAAATGAACAGACTATGCAGCAGCCCTCAAGACTGCTAAACCGGGCTTGATGATGTGAAAGACCTTTTCAGTAAATACCTTCAGTTCTCAAATCTTAGAACCATTTGTAAGGATGGGTGTGAACTGGAGCAAAGGTGAACGCTGCGATAGTCATGGGTCAGGCCCAGGATGCTGACGTCTCTACCAGAAGAGACTGAGCGGCCCACAAGTTGGGTTACTACATTCCACTCGGCTGAGCCCCTGCTCACCACCCCCAGCTAAGCAAACGAAGCCGTGAAAGGGCATAGGCACCAAGCCGCATGGGGAGGTCACTGCCACACCCAAGCAGGAGGGCCCCTGAGGAGGGTCCCCAGGAGCTCTGGGGAAGCTGCAGGTTGCACCAGGCTCCATGCGCGGCTGTTGGTTCCAAATGCCTCCTCTCCGCCACGTCCAGAACCAGCTAGAGCTGGTTTCCAGCTTAGCATCAAAAATTGCGCTTCCAAACACACAGAAAGCAAAAAGTCTATTTCCTAGAAGTGCTGGTCCCAAACGCTGGGGTGGAGATGGGAAGAGAAACATTTTCCTTATCAGATTCCGGCAACTAGGCCAATTAACAATGTAATCATTCAAGCTTGCCTCAATCTGTGAGCAAGACTTTTCGCTGAATTCTGTTTCAAATCAAAAGGTGTTCCCAGAGAATCAAAGCAAATATAAAGTCAAGGAAACACAAATATAAACAAAGATACAACATGTGTCCCTTCACCACCGGAGCAGGCCCCCCCCCCCCCCCCCCCCCCCCCCCCCCCCCCCCGCCTTCCGACCCCGGCACAACCCGGAACTTCCAGGAGCACCACTCACTCTTTGCTCTCCTTGCTGCAGGACGATGTTTTCTGGCTTCAGATCCCGATGGATGATTCTGTTTTCATGAAGGTATCTAAGTGCAGAGGCTGAGAGGGTAGAAAGCGGAGTCAATTTTCATTAAACCTAAAAAATGTGTTTCATTTCAAAATTGTCTATACTATGAAAGATGAATCCTGGGTGCCCCTACAATGCACTCTGACTTTCAGTTCAGACTCATGAGGAGGGACAGGGCCCGGGGCAGAAGCTCCTGGGGTGAAGTGAAAGGGACCTGGTTACTTGAGGAAAATGTGGCCCACCACAAGCATCTGGCTTCTTCATGCAAAGAACTCTTAGCATTCTGTCTGTGAGGTCACCAATTAGTCTACAGCAGCGGTTCTCAAGCTGCACTGCCCAGACCAGCAGCATCTGAGCTGGTGAGAAATGCAGGATTCTTGGATCCCACCACAGACCTAGTGAGTCAGAAACGTTAGGGATAACCACCCTCAATCTGTGTTTTAACAAGATCTCCAGGTGATGCTGATGCTGATAAAAGTTTGAGAAGGGGAATATCTCTGGTGTCTTTACGAAGCCGTACTCATCAAGACAGTATGGTACTGGCACAAAACAGACACACAGATCAATGGAACAGAACAGAAATCTCAGAAATGGACCCACAACTGTATGGTCGACTCATCTTCAGCAAAGCAGGAAAGAATATCCAATGGAAAAAAGAAATGGTGCTGGGAAAACTGGGCAGCTACATGCAGAATGAAACTGGACCACCTTCTCATACCATCCCCCAAAATAAATTAAAAATGGATGAAAGACCTAAATGTGAGACAGGAAACCATCAAAATCCTAGAGGACAACACAGGCAGAAACCTCTGACCTTAGCCAGAGCAACTTCTTACTAGACACGTCACTGAAGGCAAGGGAAATGAAAGCAAATATGAATTACTGGGACCTCATCAAGATAAAACGCTTCTGCCCAGCAAAGGAAAAAAATCAACAAAACTAAAAGGCAGACTACAGAATGGGAGATGATACTGCACATGACATATCGGATAAAGGGTTAGCATCCAAAATCCATGAAGGACTTGTCAAACTCAACACCCTCAAAATAAATAATCCAGTTAAGAAATGGACAGAAGACATGAATAGACACTTTTCCAAAGAAGACATCCAGATGGCCAAGAGACACATGAAAAGATGTTCAATATCACTCATCATCAGGGAAATACAAGTCAACACCGTGATGAGATACCACCTCACACCCGTCAGAATGGCTGACATTAACAACACAAGAAACAACAGGTGTGGAGGACACGGAGCAAGGGAAACTCTTTCCCTCTCGCACTGTTGGTAGGAATGCAAACTGGGTGCAGCTGCTCTGGAGAACAGTAGGGAGGTTCCTCGAGGAACTAAAAATATTTGGTTTATGTGCTTGGGTGAAGAGCCAACAGGGCGAAGCTACCATCTGTGGGATTGTGACTGAACGCCTCCAAGTCAGAATCCAGCCCATGGGGAACTATACAGCAGCACTGTGGGGGCTTGGTTGGCCTTGGATAGCCAGGGCCCTCACCATTCCACCGCCGCACACTGGGACCAGGGTCTGGTGCAGACAGCCCCTCCTCCCAAGCAACGGGGTGCATCCAGAAAGGAGGCCGCCCCCTCGGCCCTCTCATAACTCTTGTTCCTGAGGAACCTGGGGCTAAACCATTCTTAGATGACCTGCTTCTGAGTCAGGGTTTCAAACACCGCAGAGCAGCTCCCTCACTGCGATCTATTCAAAGTCAGCCTTTGACACAGGGTTTGTAAACAAAGGAAAAAAAAAAAAGAAACTAAATGTAGAACTGCCCTATGGGCCAGCAATTGCACTATTAGGTATTTACCCAAAGGATACGAAAATACAGATTCAAAGGGGTACACGTACCCCAATGTTTATAGCAGCATTATCAACAATAACCAAACTATGAAGAGAGCTCATATGTCCATCAACAGATGAATGGATAAAGAAGATATAGTGTGTACACACTGGAATATTATGCAGGCATCAAAAAGAATGAAATCTTGCCATTTGCAAAGACGTGGATGGACGTATTTTGCTAAGCAAAATAAGTCAGAGAAAGACAAATACCATATGATTTCACTCTTATGTGGAATTTAAGAAACAAAACAGATGACCATATGGTGGGGAGAGAGGGAAATAAACCACAAGAGTCTCTTAACAATAGAGAACAAACGAAGGGCCGATGGAGGGAGGTAGATGGGAGATAGGATAGATGGGTGATGGAGATTTGTGATGAACACTGGGTATTGTATGTGAGTGATGAATTACCTACACCTGAAACCAATATAGCACTGTATGTTAACTAAAATTTAAATTTAAAAAAAGGGAAAAAGAATTAAAAAAGAGAAATGAAATACAAGTCGTCAACTAGGGAATGGCTGGACAAATTATGACAGATCCATGTTATAGCAGGCGACTGTCTTAAAATCATTTAAGTATACAGAGAATATAACTTAAAAGCAGACAATATGACTCAGAAGGATGTCAAAGATAGGTATGTTTTGTTTAAAAAGATAATAAGCAATGACAACACTAAGAGGTTCAACAATAAGGTTTCCCTATGCCACCACCCTGCACTCACACTCTCTCTCTTTCTCTCTCTCTCTCTCTCACTCAGCACACCAGACAGAATGCAGGCAAACCAGGGAGGTGGGCAGCCTTTCCTGTCTGCTCTGCAAAGCAGGAGGAGAAGGTCTTCCACAGAAACCAAGTGGCCAGACACACCACATAACAAGACTTTTACGCTGAAAGTTTCCTAAAAATGCATCTGAAAGTCAAACCCAGATAAACAACTGACTTCCATCTTAGTAGGGGAGTTCCAGCTCAGAATATAAATTAATTATGAAACCTCCAATTACAACTGCCCTTTTAACAGCCTTTGATCATACAGTTCCAGTATTTCATACTTGTTCCTTATTTTTCTTTTCTTTCATAACCGAATACAGTAGATTGGCTTAGGTCCAACGAATGTCCCAATGAAATGAAAGACATGCTGCTTTCAATGCATGCCCCAAACATCCCACTCTATCTTGTTCCCAACTGTATCAACTTTTAAATCATTTTTAAAATTTTGTTTATTTTTGAGAGAGACAGAGCACAAGTGGGAGAAGGGAAGTGAGAGAGAGAGAGACACAGAATCTGAAGCAGGCTCCAGCCTCTGAGCTGTTGGCATAGAGACTGACGCCGGGCTTTAACCCACAAACTGTTAGATCATGACCTGAGCTGAAGTCAGACACTCAAGTGAGCCACCCAGGCGCCCCTTTTATTTTTAATAATTTTTTTTAATGTTTACTTTTGAGAGAGACAGAGACAGCCAATTGCATTAACTTTTAAAGACTGATGCTTCTGACCGGCACTTCCATTTGCATTTTACTAATTTTTATTAAAGAATCAAGGCAAAGTACAGCAAGACACTCAAGCAACTGCACAAACACAGCCCTGCATACAGGGATGGTGCAGCTGAACCTAACTCGTGGCTGGCAGCGAGCCCTACGGGCAGTAACTCAACACGTGTGTTCACTGATGGACTCACAAAAGGCCTATTTTGGCACCTAATAAGAGTGTCAGAGCACAATATATAAAAGCAGAATACACAGAAGTTGAGATTCATTGTATTTTGAGCAAGAGCACATGCCCAGGCTGAGACAACCCCTCTCTAGTCAGATGTGGACATCTCCATGTATATAACGTGGGCCACAGGCTAGTGAGACGTGCCCAGAAGCGCCCAGTGCTGGAGAAGAGCCTTCGGGCCAGATTGGAAGCGCCATCCTCTACACCAGGCTGCACAGGAACAGTCACCTGATGTTTGGTGGGGAGGCACGCAAGCTGGTAACTCATACACGGACGACTATTAATAGTGGTCTATTTATGCCGAAGCAACTGTACATGACAAACTTGAATCCTCATTTCAGGGCATTTATGCTCAAACACGTCTGTCCAATTAATATTGACTATGGAATTAAAGAATTCTTCAGGTATTGTTACAGGTAATTTGTTGGACTGAGTCACAGAGTCGAAATTTTGACGGGCAACAACTCTGAGATAGCTCCCCTTGCAGACTCAGTCTTTAAAAAGCGTTGCCTGACTGTGCTACAGTTTACAAAACAGTGCTGGAACAGCAGTGCCACGAAATGAATCACAGTTGTCTCAAGTGGAGAGAACCTAATTTAATTGGATGGAAAATGAGAATTTGAGATTAAGGAAAATACCTTTGCATCTGAGAGTTCATTAAAAATCTAAACCCCCAGTGATAGTGAAAATACACATATATAAAAATTGAAAACCACACCACAAAGCATGAAGCCGAAAAGTTAATTTCTCACATTCCAACTGCAGAATGGAGTTGTAAGAAGCACCCACTGTATGTGAACTTTTAAGCTACACCCTGGCATTTCCTAGGAGAGCTGACATGGAGAGCGTCCAGGCTAAGGACCTGCCACAGGGAAAAAAAGCCTCCTTCTGTTACTGCTGTCAGGAATGGCATCCGGGCAGTTGCCCGAGCTTTCCCTTAGCCCATGAGAAGATGCACATATATTGACTGAAGAATGCGATGCTCTTGGAGTTCTTACTGATGAACCAGAGTTTCAAGTAACAGTTCCTGTAATATTTTTTTCAGATTACAGACCACAAATTAGGGGCCAGCTAGGACTGGCTAGATTTCCATGTAGAAAAGTGGTTTTGCAAGAGTTGTATCCATGAATCCCGACTCACCACATTCCCCATTTAAAGGGATTACTAAACTCCCTTAAGAACATTCCATAGAATGTTTTGAATACATTCCATAGAAAAGAAATGGGAAGGTAAATGTACCAAAAAGGTGAACCAGAGGTTAGAAGAGAAAGGAAAGACGTTACCAATTGGTTTAAGTCACCAATGGGTAAGAAGTACAACAGGATGTCTGTTCACTCAATAAAAGTGGACTATGTGCCTATGGTTAAAAAAGAGACAACAGGTCCAAAACGGAATCATCTGTGCTAAGGCCACCCCAACAATGGGGACTTAAGCCCTAACCTAACTGCATTTTCAGCCTCTCCTGGT